GGCATGAAGTAATGCTTGAGGGCAGAGATTTTATTTCTCTATCTTTTATATCTAAATTCTCAATATACAGAAAATGCCATGCATAGAATAAACAATCAACACAATGGATGGATGAATAAGTGTGTGTGTGTGTGTGTGTGTGTGTGAGAGAGAGAGAGAGAGAGAGAGAGAGAGAGAGACAGAGAGAGAGAGAGAGAAAGAGAGAGAGATCCAAGCCTGTTACTCAGGCTCAGGCGCATACCCAGGCTGCTGTGGTTGTATCCAAGCCTTGCTTATTTGGGTCCTGGACGCCAGGTCTTTGTCTTGCTGGCTCCCGCTCTGCCTCCTCCAGTTCTGCATATCACTACTTGCTCTGTAACCACCTGATATTTATTTCTCTTCCTTGTTTATTTTGGTTTATTTAGAAAATTTTCTCTTAATGCATCACTTTTCATGCTTAAGACTCTCTGGGTTGACTCAGAATTGGAGATCCTGCAAGCAGGGCATGTTTAGAGACTATCAGAGTACAGCACCCAGGTGACTCGGCCTCGTGGATGGCTTTCGTCCTGGATCTGCTCAGCCCTGAGACCAGTCTTAGTCATCTTATAGCTGCTATCGACTTAATATAATTTTATTTTTAAAGAAGGATCACATCCCTTTTGCAGGTTCCAAAATATACTGACCTTAGGAAAAGTCATCCTCCCTGTCCATCACTGTCCATTCATCCTTCCCATAAGCTTCCCCATTTTCAATATCTACACTGGTCCCACAGACTCTAATGATACATCCACCTCAAAATCTTGGAGCCCATACCTATCAATGGCTCCTGTTTGTGGATGAAACAATCTATTCTCTACCACAGTGTGAGAGCTGAAAGCCTCTGGCAAATGTAGCTCCCCACTCCCTGAAAAGTTTCTGAGCCATGATGGACTCAACCCAAATTAGTTTTCAAGTCCTAGAATAATACAGCCTGATTCTGACAAAGTGTATCTTATCACAGTGACCTTTGCTGTCTATCAATATGAGGCCTTTGTGGGAGAGAACCAGTGGGTCATGTTTTTGAGAATGTGAAGCTTGGATGAGTACTTGTTTGCAAACTTACTATTTGAAATTCAGCAGACACCATGAGCCCAGCAGGGAGAAAGGGAAGGAAAGCAGGGAGCCCTGTTATAATTCTGCCTCTAAAACCAAGCAAAGGCTCCTGTACAAATCCATCATTTTCCTTCCATTGCATAAAGGAAAGTGGGCAGTGATGAGCAAGCAACCGAGTAGGAGGTCAAGGTAAAAGGACACATAGAGAGTAGACGGGTAGAGGGAGGGAAGAAAGGAATAGCAGTGTGTGACGAGGTTTTCATCCTCTATCGAATCTTCCCCTTCGTTTCCTTCAGGCCTGGATTTATTTTTTAATGGCTGAGGCCAGTGATTTGTTGCCATCGATCACTATTGATGTTTTTCAATTATATCCGTGACACTTTTGGCAATGTGTTTGTAAACACAAAGCCTTCTCAGATCTTGCTTCTTGTCACCTTGCCCAGGAACCATCCTCCTCATTCTTCTCAGCTGTCAGTTGAAGGGGTCAGGGTGGGAGCTCTGCGTCCTTGGTCCTAGGACTTTATTCTTTCTCTATTTCTGCCTAAGAGTGAGCATTCCTCATTCATTCCTACTGGGAAAACAGAAATCTTCAAGGGGCAGAAAACTGGGTAGAAACAAGAAAACGGTCTTACCTAGTTCCAAACAGTGTTCCAGGAAGAGCTTACCACAGTGCCTCGGAAGAGAGAAATGGAGCAGAGACGCGTATGTCCACCAGCATAGCTTGGACTTCAATTGCAGACAAATGACCACTCCCCCAAGTGGAGAGTCCTGAGAAGCATGCATCTAGATGTCATTTTACAACAGTAAATGTCCTAGGCTCACTTAGACCATCAGCTTCCCAAGTTTTTTGATTGAATCCCATAAGCAAGAAAAGTAATTTCCATCATGACTGAGTAGATCCATGCACATTTAACTGAAATCAGAATTGAGGAAAAGAAAAGAAAATATTTGAAGAGGAAAAAGAGCTGGACAACAAGTTATACACACTGATATTTTCTGTCCATTCTTCTCTTTTTCTTTCTTTTATTTTTAAACTTTGGTTATGTTCCACTAAGTTGATTTATGGCTGGCTGTTGTGGCCCACAGTTGGAAAAATAATAGACTAGACCAGGGATCGGCAAACTTTTCTGTAAAGGGTGGATAAGAAATATTTTCAGCTTTACAGGCCATACTGTCTGTGTCACTACTTGACATTGCCAGTGTAGCACATGACCAGCCAGAGAGTATGCAAACATGTGCAAGTCTCTGGGTCCCAACAAATCTTTACTTCCATTCATCTTCATCCCATTCATCCATTCCAACATTCATTTTCACATGCCATAAAATGTTATTCTCCTATTGATTTTTTTTTAAAATTAAATACTGTAAAAACAATCCTTAGCCCACAAGCTATGCAAAATCAGGGTGAGCTGGATTTGGCTTGAGGGCCGTAGTTTGTCAGTCTCTAGACCATGTGACACCAAGCAGGGCTGTGGAGTGTTGCCAAGTCCTATTAAAGGGCTGTGACATCCATGAATAGATGCAGGGATGTGGAGAGTTCCAAGAAGCTCTGCTACAGCTGCCACGAGTCAAGGTTGGTCCACCTTGATCTTAGGACTCTGTGTTAGAGTTTGTGTGTTAACATATTTAATCAGTGGTCCCATTTCCCTGGGCTGTGTTCTCCGAGAGAATGTACTTCCTTATGCCATGAATTTCTCATGCACCATTGCAATGTCTCTGTGGTTAGTGATCTCCATGAGACTGTCAGCCAGTGGATTCTTGATGAGGATGGTACAGAGGAGGGCAGGTGCATCCACTCTTTTCACTCCTTTGCTTGGTTCATGTACAGACTCTGCTCCCAAGGCTTATTGTCAGCTGCTGGTCAGTGCCCGGCCTTGGGCTTCAGCCCTGCACTGCCTCATCAGTGAACTCGCCCGCAGCTGCCCCTATGGATGCTCCATACAATAAAAATCCTTTTACTTTCAAAGGCTTATGGGCATAAAATTTACCATTGTAACCATTTTAAGTGTACACTTCAGTGGCTTTTGGTATATTCTCTTTTCTGTGCATCCATCAGCACCATCTAACCCCAGAACCTTTTCATCTTCCCAAACTGAATCCCTATACTCATTAAGCAGCAATTTCCTGTTTCCCTTCCCCCAGTCCCTGGCAACCACCATTCTGTTTTCTGCCTCTACCATTTGGACTATTGTAGATATCTCAGCTAAGTGGAATCATATGATATTTGTCCTTTTACGTCTGGCTTATTTCACTTGTTACAATGCCCTCCAAGTTCATCCACATTGTAGTATGAGTCGGAAATTCCTTCCTTGTGAAGAGTCAGCAAAAGAACTCTCACTTTTAAGTGGCAGGGCCTAAATTTTCCTAGGAAGAGCACAGCAGAGCTGAGTCTTTCTTAATTTCACTACATGAAAGCAAGCACTCTCTGCATGTTCCCCCAGCAATACCTACAGTGGATCATAGTCTATCTCCTTATCATTGCTCTTCCCCTCCTCCTGCTCAATCCTTTCCTCTGTTTAGTGTTGGAGAGAGAAAGAGAGGGCAAGCTTATTTAGGAATGCACCTCTGACTTTAAATCTTAGCTGCTTATTATTAGGTGAAGTTTATTAGCTAAAGTGTTTGACCAGAGCTTCATCTACAAAATGGAAATATCCATGTGACATAATAATTGTAAAAAAGAATGACACAAAAACATAAAACACGAAGCTTAGTATTTAATTCACAGAAAGATAATAATTACTATGAGCCCCACTAATAATGCTTTTCAGAGTCACAGCCTATTTCTAAAATCCTAAGTGAACCCAAGAGACCCTGATAACCTCTTTTTTGAATTACAGCTCATTTGGGTTCAGAGCACTGCCTGCCTGTGTCCCTCATCTAGACTGTGTTCTCTGTGTCTGAAGTAGATCAAATGACGCCTCTAAGATCCTCCCAACAATGAGGTAATGTCTTCAAAGTGCCCAAAGGGTTTCTCAGGAAAGTCGTTGTCAAATGTACACCTGCAGTCACAGACAAATGCTGATACCTTGGGACTAATTCCCTTACTGAATGCTTTGAGTCTTTCACATACCAAGCGTGTCTAAGAAGCTAGAAAATAAGCTTGTGAGCCTGGTACCCACTGGCCTTCATGGTGCATGTTTGGGCTCCAAAGACTGACTTACTTCGAGTCCATGGGTGCCTAATGCAGCCCAAACTGATAATCTGCCTCAGAGTAGCATGGGAGAAAATTAGTGCATATTGGCGATCTGCTGTGTCTTACCAGGATGATATTTCGGCTTTCCCATACATGGGTACTACAAAGAAGCACAGAAGGATACTCGACTTACCAAAGCCATATCACAGGTACATTGTAAGCTGAGCTCAAACCAGGTTTGTCTGCCTCTAGAATCCGTGAACTTTTCCATCTTCCAAACAGCCATTTTTACCGGGACTCATCCTAACTGTCCATCAGTAATCTATCTGGAGGCACTTACATATTGGTCACGTCTAAGAGCCTGGCTCAAATTCCCTTTCTCCCTCCTTTATGACTCGCACACTAAGCAGTGATGTGTTCAGTTGCCAACAGAGTGGCTATTTGAGTTTGCACAGGAAAGGAAAATAACGTTCATTGACCATGTTCCAAGACCCAACCCTGTTCCGGCAGCTTCTGGCCGTATATAATCTCTCTCAACGCTCATAATGACTATATAAAGTGGGTTTTGTTGCTCCACTGGAAAAAGGGCCAGAGGTTCAGTAACTCTGGACACTCCAGGAGATGGACAAATGAGGTGACTGAGCACTCAGGAACTTCTGAAGGTGAGGCTCACCAAGCAAACCCTCTTCCCACTGAAGTAGCCAGTTTTCCCCACCTCATCAGACTCAGGCAGGGGAGAGGAAAGCAGAGCATGGTGGGATCTGATTAAGAACATTCATCATCCCTGCCCCTCTAGCTCCTTGAGGCAGCTCAGAATTCACTGCAGAACTCCTATGCTGTGTTCATCCTCTCCAGCCTCCTCCCAGGTGAGCTCCTTGGAATTAGCCCAGAAGGGACTGCAGCAAGATGGAATCTGCTCTGGGGAGGGCCCACAGCCCCTGCACTGAGCTGCACTTTGCATCGCTTATCTTCTTTCATTTTTACCCTAAGCAGATTGACTCTATCTTTCTATTTTGCCCAATTTGAGCATTATTTCATTTGATTTTTCCCAGCAGACCAAAGCTTGCAAAATAAAGTGATCCTCCCAATCAAGAAGCCAGGATTCAGACCCCGATCCACTCACTCTACAGGCTCCCAAGGAGTTTACCACACTGCTGCTGCTGCTGCTACTGTGGAGAGAATGCAGGCCTAGCCGCCCAACCACACTTCCATCTGGCTTTCCTTGAGACATAAGGGAGCCAAAGAGAGGAGGTGAGAGGCTTGCTGAAAGCTAGTGTCGACAAATGAGCTGAGGGATCTGCCGAATTGTTCAGCACTCCCCTCTCCCACGGCCCGGGGTCTAAATGGTCCTAAGTTCCCTCTCTGAGATTCCATTCGACTCTTTTTTGAAATGAGCAGATAAGAAATAGCCAGCTGTGACGGGCCCTCCCATCCCCCAGCCGCAGAGTGCTTTCGTCCGCTTCCCTGTTTCCTGAATTGTGTCTTCATAATTGTGTTGTTCACATAGCAACAAACAGGGATGGCAGAATGAGAGCCACCAGTACAGAGACCGAAGGGACCTCCTGGCAGTACTCAAGGAGATGTACCACTCACCACCAAGCCCCACATGCCAGGCAGGGTAGTACCAAGGGCAATACCCCCAGGTGGCCCTTCACCTGGGACCATCTCTCAGCACATCCCCTGTGCTTCTAAAGAGGATCCAAAGGTCACCTGAGGCCCTTTAACTTTCCTACAGAGAACAACCAAGATGCCAAATGCAGCCCAGGCCTCCTCCACACAAGGTCCCAGGGGCTGTCCAGCCCCAAGGGAGGAGTGGTAGGCCTCTCACCTACCACCACTAGCACACACTGGAAATACAGTGTTTGTGGGTTTAGTCACTGGTGCTTCTGAGCTATCCTGGATCCCAGGCCGGGGTCATCCCCTAACTTGGAGCAACTTTTGGAAAATAGGCAGATGCAAGGAACCCACTGCCAACTCCCAGGTCCTGAGACAGACTGTGGGTGGAGGGGATAACAAACAAGCTTGGCTGGAGAGCAGCAACTGCCCACCCAGAATCAAGCTGGGGGCATCACGCATCCCAAGGGTGTCTGTTCAGGCTGAGGTCTCCTCTGTGCCATCATAGGGACCAAACTCCTGATGCGATGCTACTCTGGTTGGCCAGAGCTTCCCAGCCTGCATCAGTCCTGCCCCAGGGCTCCTTGGGACTTGCTCCTTCCCAAGGTTGAGGACATCATACACTTCAGACTCTTGACTCAGTTGGTAATTGTCCTTGAAATAGGCAGTCTCCTCCAAGTGCCATGTTCTGCCAGCCTTTGGTTTAGCAGCTATTAAATTCTGTGTGAGGCCTGGCTGGGTATGCTCTGCCTACTACCCATCCTCCCTGATGGTCACACGGTGGGTGTGTGTTCAGGCACTGTGACACCTTTTTGTCCAGGTGAAACAAGTTTTGCCCTGCTACATCCCTCTCCAGACATGCTGTGTGGCATCTTCTCCTGAGACCACTGTCAGATACAGAAGCCCTTTCCTCCTACCCCTCCTAGCTGCCAAGTATGTAAAAGGGCAGGCGTCTGTCCCTGCCCCTTGGAGCTCTACCCATACTCAGGCCATGTCAATCTCCACTACGTCTCCCTTGTGCCGAGATAATAAGGGAGAAAGTTTTTTTCTCCTCCTTCCAAAGTGCAGACCAATTAGCATTTTTTAAATTACCATTGGAGAAATACATCTAATTAGCCACTTTAAAGGAAAGCTTTTTAAAAAAAAAAAAAAGTCATAAATTTCTAACTGCCCACAGCTTGGAGACACTTTTAAAGCTAATTGTGTGTTTCTGGTACTAACAGGGGAATTGGTGAAAGTTAGAAATGGATTTTATGACCTTGAAGGGGAGGGGTGGGGATGGTTGGCTGACCTCTGTAGGCCAGGGAAGGGTTAATGTCTAGGTACTGGATCTGGGCGCCTCCTGGCTCCTCTTCCTCTTCCCTAGCCCCTCCTGCCCAGCTCTGTCCCGCCCCGGTCAGAGGACACGTCTTAGAGCTAATCCTGCAGACAGAGCAGGTGGACAGGCAGACACACCACCAGACAATAATGCAGGGAGAAGAAAAGGGCAGAGAGCAAAGAGGAGAATAAGAGGGAAAGTAGAGAAGAAAGAAACATTTGAGCAAACTGGGAAAGGAGCCATAGCCGACTCCCAGAAGCCTGTTTCTCATTTGTGCTCTCCATTAAACTCTACATCAGTGTGAAGGGGTGGGCTGCTGGGCTGCTCATGAACTTGGGGACTTGCTCAGACTGTTACAAACTGGAGGCAGACAGGGCTTCTGCAGACCTTGGACTTCCTGCCCAGGCTCCTGGCCCTGCTCAGTGGTCCCAAACTCTCTGGCCCTGAAACTGAGGAAATACTTCATAAAGTGCAGGCACAAGGCTCTAGGTGTCTCATTTAGGAGGAAGGCAGCTCCATGTAGTTTCTGATTCCTCCCAGACTCAGTCATGGCCACTGCTGGGGATTGATTCCTGTCACAGGTGCTCTCGGTGGAGGGTGAGGTAGGTAACTTGCAACCGTCAGATCCCCATGGCATCCTGTCACGCTCCCCTTTTCCTTCCCTCCGTAGCGCTGGAGGCTGGAAGCCAGTGAATAGGATAGCTCTGTGGAAAGATGGACAGCTGCCCTCTGCCTGTACCACTCACAGGTGATAATTTCTTGAGCCCACGCCTCCAGCTTTGGACTCCAGCAGAAAGAGCTTCCAATGCCAGCCCATCATGGTGTGGGCATCCCACTGAACTTGGAGAGTCCAGGTCCTGGGGTAGTGCTGTCTTACACCAAGCTTTGCAGCCATGCCTTCTTGAGTACTCATCACACACAACAGGCTTCATGCATGTGTGAAATCAAAGGTAATTCCTCCTCAAATGTTTTCTCAAAGTGAGGCAGAAGGACTGAAAGTTTGAGCTTGGTCCAGTAAACTTAGTGACTTAGCAAGACTCTGTCTTGACATAAAAAATTTAGAAAAGGACTTGGGGTCAGGGCTGGGGGGAAAGGAATGACAGTCTCTCCTGCCTCTGTGGGCTGTTGCCCATTTTGAAAGAGCTCAGATGATTTGTTGGGGAGAAAATGTTCTGTAGCTAAGGGGGCAGCCCTGACCAATCCCATTTCCTCTCCTCTTTCCAGGAAATTCATGTTTCTGCAAGTAAGCAAGAAAAGGCCTGGTGGAAGCGGGCTTATCCCTGACCAAGAAAACAATCAAGGTACAGAGCAGGCCTAGGAAGCCACCAGTACAAAGCTACCCTCTGCCTGGTCTCCAGAGACAGACAAGCATACAGTCAAGTGACACAGGCCTAATAGTGGGGATGTGCCAGGGAGAGTTGGCTTGTGCCTTTTCTGGCCCAAAGAGGACATCCCCTTTGAGGCTAGTCCAAGGATATCCTCCCAGAGACTCCAATTCACCTGCATAGACCCCTGTCAGGAAGACCGCAGCTCTCTGTCTATAGGCCCTCCCTGGCTTCCTGGGTGATGGATGGCTCAAGAGTTGCACATTTTTGTCCTGTCAAGAAAACACAAACAATTCAATACCAGGAGGAAAGGGCCCTATTCCCTGTTGGCCCCTGGAGGAATCCCCAGGGAACTTTACCCACGTCACAGAGGCCATAGAGAAAGGGAAAACAGCTGGGCCTCTGGGACCTGGGAGCAGAAGGTAGATTTATTATTTTGCAATGATTAAACCAACAGTCTACAATTGATTCCTTCTTGCAAAACCCACTGCTCAGGCACAAGAAACAATGCAGGGTGACCTGGGTGCCAGTGGTCACTTTGTCCCTACCCTTACACCCACCCCACCCAGATGCTACCTCTGGTAGACATCCCCACTCTGGCCGGCAGCCAGGTCCTCGCCTACCTCCCACTCCATTCCCCATCTGCAATTGTTTCCAATCATTTTAGGAAACAGCTCTGAGGACAATTAGAAAAGATAACAAGGAAGAATTACATAATTACAGTCCGCCTAGATCTCAGGCACTCCAAAAAATAAAAAAAGCTGAACAGAGTGCAAACAGGGCTCTGTGTGAAGAAAAGGACGGGACTACCGGTGATCATTGGGGTGTGAGGACTGGGACCCTGGCTGGAGAGGGGTAGAACAAAAGCAGCCCTGTGTCCACCTGCTGGCCCAGCTGTGGACTCAGTGTGTCCCAGCCTAAGGCATCAGAGAATGACAGAGGTCTTCCTACAGTGCACATCATCCTATGGTATGGACCACACCACAGCCCAGGCCAATGCCTTGTCCACGTTCAGGCTCCTTCAATGCCTGGGCTAGCACCTAACTGATCCTACCCACTGATAGAGCTGCAGGGTCTCTGTTCTTGGTCAAAACGAACAGGTATTGGGAGAAGTCCTTTAGCACAAGAGTTGGGAATCTTGTTCTGTCAGGGGACAGATAAACAGCCACAGCTTCATGGGCCCCACAGTCTCTGCTGCAACTGCTCCACTTTGCCATCATGGCACAAAAGCAGCCTTAGACAGTGTATAAACAAATGAGCACACTGTGTTCCAGCAAAACTTTATTTGTGGACGCTGAAATTTGCATTTCATACAGTTTTTCACATGCTGTGGCATATTACTTTTTTGTCTTTGGATTTTCCTTTCCAGCCATTTAAAGATGGAAAAACGGCTCTCCACGTGTGGGCTGTGCACAAACAGGTGGCGGACAAGATCTGGACTGTGGGTGGGAGTTTGCCGACTCCTGCTCTAGAGTGTTGCTGGAAGACTGTGTGTGTCTTTCATTATCCCACACCCAGAGTTTAACCATTCCTGACACTGTAAAGCCAGCGGACCCTTGAAAAGAGTCTTCATCATCAGTCTTTACTAGGCCACTCCAGCATGCTGAGCTAATCATCCTAGAAGGTTGTTCAACATCTCTGGATCTCTGAGCAAAGTTCCCAAGGGTAGGCTGAGCGGATGGCCGAGGGGTTTCTCCACTTGGGCAGCAACCCCTCCCAGAAGGAAATATAAGAGGCACTATGTACTGACTTGCTGCTCTCTAGGTAGAGGGTGTACACCCTGTCTGATGTATAAGGTAACAAAAGACCAGTAAGTTGGCTTGTTATGCACACCTCAACTTTCCTCCCACTGCCTCTCCTTTTAGCAACAGGTGGTATCATGCACCTTCATTCATTCAAAAAATATGGAAGGGGCCAAATGCCCATTGCAGCACTGTTCCAGACAGAAATTGAGCTCAGGATATCAGACGCCTACAGATACTAACCGAGTCCCCGTGCAGTTGGTACCTTCAGGCTGAGGACACATTGGAGAGGCTCAGTCAGTGGTGAACAAATGAGTAAATGAAGGTGAAAATGCTTAGTAACATTAGGTAGATCAAATCCCATTCCAGGTGAGAAAAGGAAGAATTAGTGCTCAACAATGAGTTGAGCTCAACCTGTCAAGAGCTTTGGGTGTGCACAGTGGGAGCACAGAGAAAGAAGAGAGAAGAGATGACCCACAAGGGCCTCCGGCATGCTGGAGTCAGTAAGAACAGTGACAGTTGTGCATGCTGAGTCATAATGCAGCACACTAATAGCAGGCTGAGTGCTTGGAGGCCAGAGTCAAGCTGGGATCTGGATTACAGGCAGCCAAGAATGCCGGGCACAGGAGTTGAAACCCCTGTAAGATGTGTCAGAGGTGGAAAGTTTGAGTCTCCTGAGCAGAGGTAGTTGGGTGGCGGTGAGATGAGGAAAACTAACAGGAAAGCAGCAGGGAACTTAAGGACTGGATTCAACAAGGGAGTCAAAGAAGCCCTAGACTAAGGCAGAAGCAGGTGGTTCTGCTGAAGAGTGGCTGTAGGCCTCTAGAAGGAAGTGGACCCCTACAGTGGTTAGTGGTTATGACCACAGAGCCTGGAGTCGGTGGAACTGGGCACAAATCCAGCACTGGCACTTACTCCCTATAAATGGTCCATTCTCCTGGGAACCCAATTTCCCCGTATGTAAAATGGGGGTAATAAATGGAGTGAGAATTGTACAGGATCCTTGTGACATTTAGATGAGATTATATACGTGAAGTGCTGACTGTAGTGCCTGGCACAGAGCAGATGCTCACTACCGCTGTGTGTTTTATACCAGAAGAGCTTTACAATGGTGGGTAAATTCATAACTAGAGAAAATCCTCTCTGAGTGCTGTGATACATACATCATGTTTCTGTATGACCTGGGGTCAAATTCTGTCCACCAGTCAGTCGTTCATTTGGGCCATAGCAGCTTGTTATCAGCAGCAGTGGAGGGGTGGAGTCCACCCATCTCCCAATCCTGGGTGGCAGGACCCTCACCACATCCTCCCAGTCACTCTCCAGTCAGAAAGTAACAACAACAATGAGAAACATCCAGCTCCACACAGGATCTTTGTCAAGAAAGTCCCTATGCCCCACAGACCGCTCACAGCCCCTGACACTTTGTGAGGGAGGCAGGGAGGGAGGAAAGGAGGGCTGACCAAGAGCCCAGTGCCCTCTCCTTAGATCACAGGTGTGTCACAGAGATTGGGGCCAAGACCTTTGACCACAGAAGTTTGGGGAGTCATATTCAAAGCCTCTCAGGAATCCTCATGCTCAGGATTTGGTAGCCAACTTCACGCTAGGAAGTGTGACCTGCTGGGAAAATGATCAGTATCAAAGCATAAAGAGTACAGGCTTTGAACACAGGCAGCCAGGAGCTCTAGTCCTGGCCTTGCTGCTTCCTGACCCTGTGACTGTGCAAACAAGGATAGCAGTTAAATGAGGGAACATGAGATAATGTGTTCTCAGCACAGCCTGCAGCTCAGTACGTAGGACCTCTGCTGTCTTTATAAGAATCTGGAATTCAGACGCTTGACTGAGGGTTTGCTCACCATTGGAGAGGAGGACAGGGCCTCCCTTTGATAGTACTTGTCACAGACCTTCCCTTCTGCTTGGCAGGAAGTGGCTTTAACACAGCCTCCTCAACACTGTTCCATAACTCTGCGGACCCACCCACTCCCAGATGGCTCCCTGTGCCCTGATCCCAGAGGTAGTCCCTACTCTTCCAGGTCCACTTATAGTCTGCCACCCTCACTCCAACCAGCTGGATATCCTGTTCCTGCTTTTGAAGGGCACGTGCCTGGTAAAGGACCCATCTGCTGCTGGTGATGTTCCCTAAGAAGCCTCCCAGCAGTCCTTTGCAACTCCATACAGATCTCATTCCCAAGTGATCACAGCTCCCAAGAGCAAGAATACCAGACAGCAGAAGGACTGGAGATTGGGACAAAAGAAGAAAAGACCCATGTACAATTCCCTACTCTTGCATTGCCATCTGGTTGCTACTGGCAACCAGGCAATCATATTTTTCTAGTCTCAGATATAACCATCATAATCAATATAGAGTATTTATCCCACTCCTTGGTTTCAAGAAACTCAAAGCTTTTCATGTTTGTTATTCTTCCTTCACTAAGATGAGGGAGAGAACGGGGGAGTTCTGTCTGTTGATGGGGGCAGAAGAGACTATTTAACAGAGGAGCAAATCGAGGTGGTGGGCATGCAGGGAAGCTGAGGATCCTGCTGGAAGAAGGGAGAAGTGTCAAAAGTGATGAGCATTTTGGCAGTGCTTTACTCATACTCCCTCTTTTCATGACTTCCCTCTGAAATGGGTTCATTGCTTTCATCTTATAGATGAAGCCTAAACGAGTAGGGTGTTTCCTTTCACAGTCACAAAGATAAAAATGCTGTTGCCTAAACTTGAATTTGGGTCTTTTGAGTCACTTCCGGACTCAGTGTCTCTGCAAATAAATTACAATACACTATTAGAATTATCACATCTCTTATGTGTTACTACCATACTACTGTAAACAGCTGCTGTTGTACATACTTCATACGTCACAGTTGCTTTGAGATGTGTAATTCTTTTCTAGTTCTAGTTAATACTCATACCAAAAAGACAACAAAGACAACAAAAATGGCTAGATTAAAATGCTTGCCTAGGTTGGAAAATTTAGAACTACATTTATTTTCCAAAATTCTATTAACATTCTCTTACTATAATAAAATTGAAAAAAAAAAATCTATCCTTTTGGCTGTAAAACCACTCATCCCTTTCGACAACTATGTGATGGTATCTGTTACTCCAGCAACTGGTTTGATGTCACCTTTTTGTCAAAGAACAGTAATACTAAAAGCATGCCTTTGGGGCCGCTGAAGTGGACAAGTCACACAAAGCCTTCCACCCTAACACCTAGCAAAGGCTCTGGGGCCTTCCTTGCTGGCTAGTGCTACACCCGGGAAGCTGGAGGTAAGAAGACAACAAATAAAACACAACCAAAAGAGAAAGCATGTGACCACAGGCAGAACCGTTCTAAAATAGGATGTTTTTCAGTGTTATGCACAGCGTTCATTTCCCTTCCGAGACAGCACAAACACCATCCAGAGAAGAGAGCAGCTGGCTGGTGTCTGAAACTTCTCTGTTCTCAGAACAGAGGATCAGCTCCATAAAACCTTCTCTTTTTTCTTTTCTCTCACTTAGAGGAATCCCACTTTACCACTTGGAAGTAGAGGGCCACAAACAGAAGATCCAACCTGTGATTCCCCAGACCTCCTTGGCCAATGGTGGTGAACCTTTGGCACTTGTGCCGCTGCCTGGTGTTTGTTATCATTGAAAGCTCTAACAGGTTCGCTGTCACCATAGGCTATGAGATGATGCCCTTGTCTTCCTAAAACCTCACCTGGTACCTCCTTGGTAGTTCTACAAAGAACTACCACATTCGGAAATTCCCTTCATACCCTCATTCTAATCAGCTCAGTAGACAGAATAAAAAATACTCAACATTTTAAAACTGAGGCTAAGATACACAGGGGGAGAAGCTGATGATCCAGATCCCTATGAACTGATGGCCAGAATCTACCAGTCAGGCAGAGCTTGTTCAGCACCTCCTAGGTGCAACTACTATGTAATGCTCCAACAAAGGCCTTTAAACTAGACATGCTGTGTACCACCACACAGCTTTGCCTGACTCCAAGGACACACCCATCTGTTTTCTTTC